ATAATAATCATCTCCCACCCTCTCCCCAAAATTAACTTTTAAAAGCTCAATGAAACCGTTAAAGTGTATGTGAATTAGGACTGATCTCACTATAAGTGAAAGTGAAAGTGAAGCCGCTCAGTCGTGTCCCGACTCTTTGTGACCCCATGGACAGTAGCCTACCAGGCTTCTCTGTCTGTGGGATTTTCCAGGCAAGAGTACTGGAGTGGGCTGCCGTTTTCTTCTCCAGGGGATCTTCCCCACAGAGGGATCGAACCCGGGTCTCCTGCATTGCAGACAGACGCTTTACCATCTGAGCCATTTAGTTTGAGAGAACTAAAAGTTGGACTAAATCTACATTCATTGCTATAGGTTTTACAAAAGGATAAAAGCAACTACAGACTGGTAAGTTTGCTGATGGAGAGGGCTGAGCAGCTTGTTGAAGGCACATCATAAGCAGCTTTTAGTTTCTAAACAGATAGAGTCTACACATTCTGTTATGAATTTATTTTTTGAAGTTCTCAGAGAGCCTCCAGCATGTCTACAAGGATTTGTCCCATTCTATAATATTCTCTTAGGTTACTGAGGAAATGGGGTTGGTGTTGGACAGATATAACTGCTATCTTTGAGTAACAGAATACTTGAAATACAAAATAGTTGGCTGTTGGAAGCTCTCCTCTTTTCTTTGGGGCCGTTTTAATCTGCTAAGAAGAGGAATTCAGCTGTTCTCTATTGTTCATCACATTTTCTTCAGAAGTTGATCAAAGGGGAGCCTGTAACCATCACTACAGCAACACAAACAATTCAAATCCACCGCCATCCTAGTCAGCTGGGTACTTTTTCATTATACAAGTGCATTTTTCACTGATACACCTTCCAGAAAGAATATCTAAGAAATACAAAAAAGTAATAAAACATTAAGGATTTTTTTTTGCTTTTAAACTTTCTTTTTAGTGAATTATTGCAAGTCCTAGCATTTACCAATTTACTAAAATAAACTAATCACAAATTATGTCATAAAAAATTTTAAAAATTCAATAAAAAATAAAAATTAAGTTTAAAAAAATCCAGGAAAAAAAAAAACAAAAAATGACTAAGGTAGTTGGGAAGCTGCGAGTCAAGGAGTTAAAATATTCAACTCCTTGCACTGTTATATCCACTAAATGAGGGAATTAGGCTAAATGAGCATTTCTTAAAATATTACAGGAGCAAATTATCATTATAGGGAAAAAGGTGGGGGAATCAGTGATGAGAACAGTTTAAGGAGCAATGAATCAAATAGAGTTAAGCAGGTTTTATTTCAAACTGAAAGACTCCTCAGTACCTTTAGTCATTCTTGTCTATCCTATTTGGAGTGGATATCAGAATTAAGAAAATTTTACAAAACAATAGAAGTTAACACAAGGACTTTCACAAGTTTAATATGTAAGATGATGCACTTTAAAATGATATGCCTCTGGAATCACTGTCTGAATATATGCTTTTAAAAGAGCTTTAGAGTTATCTATAATAGCAGAGAAACAGCTCCTATAGTAGGATTCTCATTATCACCATGCTGCTGTTTAATATATAAACGTGGACAAAGTTCTTTTGCATTCCTCATATTACATAATTCTTTCAAAAACACTTTTACATGATTTTCAAAATCTGAATCCAACAGAGACAGTTACAACATATCATTATTTAATTTAAAAAGTGGTGACCACAGCCATGAAATTAAAATATACTGGCTCCTTGGAAGAACATTTGCTCCAGCCTTCTCCGGACCTCCTTCCCAGCACTGAATTGTCCAGCAGGGCCTTTGCCTCGACCCGTGGCCGCACACTGAAGGACACCCGATGGCCAGCGATGGTTTACACGTCCACCAAGACCAGCAGTGGGACAACCATGGCCCCGGGCCTGTCACCCAGCTGTGCTGACCGGCTGCAGGGCACGTCCCTGCTGGTCAGGGCCTGTCACTATGTGGTCCTTTCGAGAAGGGACTGGCAAACCATTTCAGTGTTCCTCCCTTGAAAACCTCATGAAAACCTTGGAAGAACAGTCATGACAAACCTAGACTGCCTATTAAAAAGCAGAGACATCACTTTGCCAACATCTTTGGCATCACAAATGCCAACAACTTCCATATAGTTAAAGCTATGGTTTTTCCAATAGTCACATTCAGATGTGAGAGTTGGACCATAAAGAAGGCTAAGCACTAAAGAATTGATATTTTTGGATAGTGGTATTGGAGAAGACTCTTATGAGCCCCTTGAACAGCAAGGAGGTCAAACCAGTCAATTCTCAAGGAAATCAACCCTGACTATTCATTGGAAGGAATGATGCTGAAGCTGAAGCGCCAATACTTTGGCCACCCGATGCGAAGAGCTGACTCACTGGAAAAGACCCTGATGCTGGGAAAGATTGAGGGCAAGAGGAGAAGGGGATGACAGAGGATCAGATGGCTGGATGGCATTACTGACTCAATGAACTTGAGTTTGGGCAAGCTCCAGGAGATGGTGAAGGACAGGGAAGACTGGCATGCTGCAGTTCATGGAGGGTCACAAAGAGTTGAACACAACTTAGTGACTGAATAACAACAGCAAAAGATTAGTGTCAAAAATACAATAAAGATTCGTGCCATTGTTATTTTAATAGTCTCTTCCACTTGACAAAGCATAGTTAGTAAAGTAAATATTTCCAAATGTTATTGTTTTATTTTTACATGTTTATGCTCAGTGTTTAGTTTTCATAGGCCTAGCCTCTACTTTGGAGAAGACAATGGCTCCCCACTCCAGTACTCTTGCCTGGAAAATCCCATGGACAGAGGAGCCTGGTAGGCTGCAGTCCACGGGGTCACTAAGAGTCGGACACGACTGGGCAACTTCACTTTCACTTTTCACCTTCATGCATTGGAGAAGGAAATGGCAACCCATTCCAATTTTCTTGCCTGGAGAATCCCAGGGATGGGGGAGCCTGGTGGGCTGCCGTCTATGGGGTCGCACAGAGTCGGACACGACTGAAGCTACTTAGCAGCAGCAGCAGCAGCCTCTACTTATTAATTTTAAGATAGTGGTTCACTAGTTTGTGTATATCCAAATCACCTGATTAAAACTTTGATTGCTGGACGCCAAGTCAGCAAGTCTCCAATGGAGCTGATAATCTGCATTTCTAAAAAGTTCCTAACTCATGCTGATGCTGCAGATCCAGGTACCACACTTCAAGAATAATGACTTTTGCTGGTCCTAATTTATTAGATGAAGCCCTGCATCTTTCTGTTGGTCTGAGGTTCGTCAGCCAGGCCCCAATCTGAAGCCTTAAGGGAGCAAAGAGACCTGGTTATCCCCTATGTCTCCAAAATAAGTTGCCTTTGTAATAATTGCCGGGTTCTGTCATCATACATCTCATTCCCAAAGACCAACAGATTTTTTCCCCTTCCTTTAATGTTTTCCACTGTCAGCTAACAATAGGTAGGTCATTAGTTTCAAAATGTGGCCCTTTGGATTTCTTTCCCTCTAATCACTACTTCCTATTTCCCAACATAACTCACTCCCGCTCTGATATAATATCCTTACAGTATATTCCCACTCTTATATAATATCCTTGTGGTATCTTGTCTCTTTCCGCAGACTTGTTTGTTTCTTCAACTAACTGGACTGTATTGCCAGCCTATGTGAATGGATCACTATATTCATTCCTTTGTTCATTCACTCCAAAAGCGTTTGTTAAAAGCTCAACATATCATAAATGCGACAAAAATTTTTTGCGTTCCCGTGCTTATACTGTTGTGAGGGAGATACAAAATAAATGTGTAAACAAATAATTAGGATTGATGTGTACACTAAAGAAAATAATTTAAGATAATGGGAAAGAAAGTGACTGGAAATGAAATGTGCCTTAGCTACTCCGAAAACACTTTGTTAAGAAGGTAACATTTAAACTGAAAAGGGCATTCTAGGCAGAGGAAGCATCAGTTTGAAAGCAGAAAGAGGACCATTGTATTTGAAGTTAGAGTCAGTGAGGGAAAACAGCTGAAGAATAGTTCAGGTGGGGGGTCACAATGAATAAAATTTTGTATAAGCTTATTGTAACCACATGCTTCACACAGACACCTTATATACAGCCTAGGAGACTAGCATATTCACAGGATGGGATCTAGGCCAAAAAGAGTTAAAACATCAACAGCATTTTGGTGAGCAAGAACTGAAGACTAATATCAGAATGCACTGTCTAGCCTTAGGAGTCGGCTGTATTAAAATGCACAACGAATTATATACAGTTCTTATTTCAGAATGTGGATACATTAGGTCTTAACATTTTGTCTCTTTCTTAAATAGTGAATTAAAGAACTACTCCAGGGATTGATATACAGTAATTCTAGAAATAGGCAATCTCTCCTTGCTTAAGAAATCAAACATTCTGAGTGAAGAAGGGGTAAAATCAGGTCAGAGTATGTCTTACAACAACATTTCATAAAGACAATATTTTCAAACAGCAGTGATTCTGATAAAATTGGCAAAACAATTCCTAGCAAAATAATAACCAGTATATGAAAACACACCAGCCTTTAAGCAATTTGAGATACGAAAGAGGTTAGCCTAAAGCAAGATTTAGTTGTATGATTTCAAGAAAGCCATCAAGAAAAGCAGCAAGCTCATCTTACAACGTAATTAGAATTATGTTTTAATCTTTATAACATTAGCCCCCAGGTAGAACTGAGAGCATCTGAATTGAAAGGAATTTCCCAGCCAGGGTTCTTTTCAGGGAAGGAGCAAAGGTCTACATTTATAATTTTGCTTTTGTAGATATTAAAATTTGCCACCATGTAACCTGAAATGTATTAAATATTCTCACCAGCGACACAGTTCCTTTTAGTATACAGAATGAAAATTCTTATCAGCAAAAGCACCTTAGTTTTCAAAATGTTCCAAAATGATGATTATATCAGGACAGAAACTCATTTGGTTTATACTGTAAAACTCCTAGGATCTCACTTGTGAAGCTGCTTTATGCACTCCTCACCATCAAACACGCTGATGGCATTACCTGTCTGCATCCACGGCTACATCATGCAGTCCCCTCTGAATGGCGTCCCTGGAAGCTGCTGTGTCTGGGCCTCGGTTCAGACTCCTCGTGTACAGGCTGAGCCCTCCATCCGTCATGTACCTGCAAACAAGAGCCCAATTAGTCAACAGAGAATTGAATGACCTCCTCGGTATAATTTAACTTAACAGTGTTCAAAATTTTAATATTGCAATTATGAAATATGCTCTATTATAGTTTTTCTATATAAATATCCTACTCGCCAGGAAGTATTAGAAAATCTCTTGAAGTTTATTAGGAAATTAATCTGCCTTACTGCAACAATAACTTGCCTATAATAAAACCTTCCTTCTTTCTCTCCTTGTTATCAATATTTTGAACAGACTTAGCAAAATAAAAGCAAGATCATTTCATCTTATAAATACCATTTTTGAAGAATTGAAGGTCCCAGGAGTCATTTTAAAATTTGATTAATTTATTTGATAAATAAATGTACACCACAGTTGACCACTATTACAAAATAACTAAGATGTATTAAACGTTTAAGATGTCACCAGGAACTGTTCTAAATGGTTGACTTGCAATAACATTATTATCCCCATGTCAGTGATAAAGAAAATAAGCACAAAATGTTTAAGGATTTACACCAAGTCACTCAACCAAGTCACAGGAGAGTTGAGGATAAATCTGGAAAGTCAGCTTCAGAAACCGTCACCTTAACCACACGCACAGCTGTCTGAATTGAAGGACCACACCGCCTAACTCGCTTCCTGTCCCTAGGAACTACTTCTTTGCCATCACAGGACCACCGCCATCAATAGGGCTGGTAGACTGTCATAGTCATGTTGCTTCCTTGGCAATCGGGGTTAGAACAGGTGTTAATCTCCTACCCCATGTGGGGCTAATCAAATGTTTCTATCTTGAAAAATGGGACTAAGACAGCTCATCAGTCTTTCTACGTGAAAAGTTTATGATAATGAAAACCCAGGAGCTGTGGATGTTTGTCTTCATCGAATGCAAAGAGGCGCAGAGAAAACTGATCAGCAAAATGGAAAGAATGACACAGATGCACAAAAAGCACATTTTGGTCACATGGTTTCAGCTTCACCCCGTCTTGGGTTCTAGGAGATATCCTTGCTTCCTTATAATCAGATCACCAATTTGCTTAAACAAATTTGATTCACTATTTAGTACAAAAAATTAACCATGATCATATTAAAGATTGCTCAAATAGTTAAAACTAGGATTATGAAACCTGTTAATCACTCACATGATTAATAAATTCTATCCATTTTAGTTGAAGGATCGCAATGAATTTCTTAAATTATATCTCAATTTCTGCCTATGAAAATGGCAGAAGAATGGGAAGAATAAAATTTACTGAAGACAGATTTTATATAATTGAAGGAAAAATACATAAAGCTCTTCAAATGAGAATCCTATAATAACAACTTGTTATTCACAAAGTCTCTCCCACATGTTAAAAAGGAAATATATAAATTTTATACACAAACAAGAAGTCATAGTGTATTATCTTTGTAAGGTACTCTACATGGTTAGTTTTCTTGATAACCAAATAATTTAACCCCATCAAAATTAAAACAATGAAAAAGAGTATTTTGGTTCCAAAACATGCTGAAAACTGACATACTGTTGATGACAGTGATGTCATAAAAAATGATGACAACATTTTTTGACAACTAATTCATGACTATGAGCATTAATTTCCTATATCATAACAATGATACTAAATGAGACAAAGAGTAAAGGATATTTGTCCTTTGTACTTTTTAATTTTTCAGTTGCCATACTGGGGCTGTCAACATTTTATTGTTTATTCTTACTTCCACATCATTCTCAACCAGTTCTATATATTTTTAATTGCTTTTTTTAAAGGTGAAATATATGGAATTCCTGATAAAGTAAAAGTGTTTAGAGATAAATAGCTTTCTCATTCACTCACCTTTTGAAACTGTCTTAAATGGTTGAGAATGGTATAAATTTTCTCTAAGGACAACTGAGATACTTATAAAAAAAAAAAATTAACATTGTTGATCCTAAATTTAACTTCAGGAGGAAGAAATAACAATGCCTATGTGTTAAGTTTTACAACTCATTGGTCTCTCTTATTCATTGGTAAATATCTAAAAAGTGTTCAGCCAAGTGTTTTGTGCATAGTTTGGTGTCAATAAATGTATATTGTTTGTTCAGTTGAATTTGAAAGGCTTCCATACTGTAGGAAGAAACCATGATAGCAGATCTCAGCACTTTATCTACAACGACAATGTATGTAAACCAGAAATTAGATGGATGATCATTTCTATTAGAAATATAACCTTTCAATTATTCAATGTTTACAGAAGAGTAAGTTCTATAGAAAAAGGTTAAATGCTTTGAAAATTCAATTTCAAAAGAAAAAAAATGCTTGAAAATTTCAATGAATTAAGGAAAAAAAGCATTCTTTTTAAGAAGCATTTCAAAGGATACTCATTTTGCATTGACCCTTGGATTTTCCAGGTAATATTAAATAGGTTTACATCAGGTATTAATTGTACCAAAAAAGCCATTCATGTCTAATTCCTCTGTTTACAGACACTGTTGCACTGGAATGCCAGCAGGGCATTTTCATAGTCGAACCATGAGTCTGCTATTTGAGAAATTATATATAGGGTAAAGCACAGGTAAAGCAAATTTCTGATTAAAATTTTTTTCTTGAAAATTCTTACTTCTTTTCAGTCTTTCTAAAGGATTAAAAAAAATTTTTTAATGAATTTCATAGTTCCTCTAGAAAAATTTGCTACAATCTGGGGACCATAAATGTTAGGAAATCATTGTGAAAGAAAATGTAAAATTTTTAAAAACATTTCCTTATAATGTTACATGTAAACTTCTAAACCGTAAGCTGAGTTTAACAGGTAATAGTCATAAGGCAGATTGGTATAAACAAAATGTTGCAAAGGAAACCTGTGAAGGTTACTGACAAAAAGAAAGATCTCTAAAAATATGAAAGTCTTAAGACAACTTCAGCCATGTTGAAATTCTATTAGCTCTAAGATGGTTCACATAAAAACTCAATGGTCTCCAAAAGCATTTCTAATTCTTCCTCTATCCCACTGCTATCTCTTTTCTTCCTTCTGTTGCAGAAAAACTTTAGTTTACTTTGGCATATTTTCTTTAGGTGTGTGTTTTTCTAATTAATATTTCTAGGCCATACTGCTCCACCCTGTACTAGAATGAGATATCAAACTGCTTCCTGTGTACAGATAATGTGTATTTCCCATAAGCACCTCACATATAGCATAAACTGACCATATATTACCTTCACCACGAAGGCGAGGCTCTGTGTATGCTAATATAGTTACAGGAAAAACACTCCATTCACCTAGTCAGCAATCTAGATAGATGATTTTCTACTTGTCACTCAGCACCCTCAGCGATTACAGAACAGTCTATTCAGAACTGTGAATCAGCATCACCATGTTCTAATTACATCCAGAAATCACTAAAATAGGAAGAAGTATTCAAATCTTATTTTTGTATGTGATTCAATTTCATTTTCTCAGTCAACATAAATATGTACGACTTTATCTTCACAGCAAATCCATAATTTTTTAAGCATCATAGTTAAATATATCATATTTTTGCAAGAGTATAAAAATATACATTAAATAATAAGTAAAAAATAATATCAATTTTCATGTACCCATAACCTGGATTCAGAAAGAGAATATTTTCAGTCTTCAATGACCATAGAGGCTTTTCCTAACCCTGCATTTCCAAACCTCACTTCCAGAGATATCTACTGTCCTAGATTTTGTATTAAGCATTCCTTTACTTGTCTTTATGATTTTACCACATGGACATATATTCCTAGAAATACATTGCTTAGCATCTCATGAATTTGAAATTTATATAAATTGAGCCATATTATATATATTCTTCTGTGACTTATTTCCTTCATTCAAAATTAAATTTTTGCAAATCATCTACCTTGGTGTATATCATTGTGTTTTGTGTGTTAGAGTTGCGTAGCTTCACTTTACAAAAGCACTGCAGGGCCTCCCAGGTCGGGCAGATGAAAGAATCCACCCGCAGTGCAGGAGATTCAGGAGACACGGGTTCAGTCCCTGGGTTGAGAAGACCCCCTGGGGTAGGAAATCGCAAGCTGCTGCAGTATTACTGCCTGAAACATTCCATGGACAAAGGCACCTGGCAGGTTGCAGTGGGGTCACAACTAGTTGGACAAAGCTGAGTACACACACACACGGTTTACTTATGGCTTTGAGTGCAACAGACATGTGGGCTGTTTTTAGTTTTTTTGATGTTACAAAAAACTCTACCATGAACATTTATATAAACATAATTCCTTGTGCTCACAAGCAAGTGTTTGTCTAAAGTCTATATCTAGAAAGGGAATCACTGGGTCATAATAGATACATACACATATTCAAACCTTACCAGTCAGTGCCCAAGAGTTTCGAAAATATTTTCAGAATAAACTTCTTATGAATAAGAAGTTGCTTATAAAGTAAACTGGCTTATGAAAAAGAATTTTCATGTTAGCTTTAATTTATAAATTCCAAATTAACAAGTGGTTTATCATATTTTTACTTTGTTAAAGGCCATTTATGTTTTGCCTGTGAAATGTCTGTTCATGATTTTTGCTCAGTTTTCTATTGGATTCTATGTTTTTTTCTTTTCTCATTGATATTCTTCCTCTATTAGTTGCATGTGTTGCATATGTTTGGGTTTATGTGGGGTTTTTATTTTGGTATTTTTGTCTTGCTTATTTTTATGTGAAATCAATTATTTGGAATGAAAATAAACTTGATCTAGATACCTTTCTAAGTTCACACAGTAACTGCCTCTATTACTTTTCTGTAGTGTTTTAAAATGCGATAGCTAGCTTGTTGAGATTTCTGGACTCTCTTCCCACCCCTCATCTTGATCTGGACCTTTTCTATCGTCACTTTTATTGCCACATCCTGTTCAGTTTGCTTCTCCTCCTAGAAGTTTCCCCTCAGAGTGGCGCCCTGTCTGGAAAGGAAGCTGCAACTGGAGAGTTTAATGAACTCATGGGAACAAGAAAGCTCCATTCCCTCCAGATATGACCTTCGGCCCTA